AGGAAGGAAGGAAAAGGAGAGGGAGGGAGGGAGAAAAAGGAAAGCAAAGGGGAAAGTAAGAAGGGAAGGAGAGAGAAAGGACTGAAGAGGAAGGGAAGAGAGATGGAGGAAAGAGGAGAGGAAAGAGGGGAGAGGAAAGTGAAAATGAAAGTAAAAGAGAGGAGGAGGGAGGGAGGAAAGATTAGGGGAGAAGAGGAGAGAGAAAAGCTAGGAAGAAGGAAAGGGAAGGGGAAGGAGGAGGAAGGAAAGGAGAGGAAATGAAAGTGAAACTAAGAGCAGAAGGATGGAGGGGGGGAAGATGAGAGGAGAAGGGGAGAGAGGAAGAAGGAAAAGGAAAAGGAAAGGGAACTCTCCACACTCTATGATCCCCCAAAGAGAGGAGGAGAGGCCGCTCTAGGGGACGTACATCTTTCTCCTCGTTCTCTGCAGCGCCAATGCTGACCACGATCAGCGTGAACGGCTCCGGCTACACCAGCGAGCTCTACCGCGACTTGGTCTCCGCCTTCGACGTGCTCCAGGAGGGGAATATCAGTGTGGTCTCCCCCAAATGCCGCCTGTACCCGTCGGAGCCCGACTACAACGGTTACCTCGTGATCGGTAGCTGGGCGTCGCTTTCCCTTCCCGCTCTCCCCCGGAGGAAGAGGATCCGGCCAGTTTCGCTGAGTCGTCTTCCCGGTTTTCAGTGAAACTGACCGGATACTCTGCCTGCACGTCAAGTTTCTCTCAAAAATTGTGTTTTTTTTAAGCGGGAGGGTTTAAAAAAAAAGAGAGACTGTGTGGGGTGGTTAGAGGTAGTCCTCCACTTACGACCGCTCATTTAGTGACTGTTCAAAGTTACAACGGCAGGGAATTAAAAAAAAAGGGACTTATGACCGTTTTTCACACTTACGGTCCCACGGTCACAAAACTCAGAGGCTTGACAACCGGTTCCTCTTTTACGACGGTTTTTGGAGTCCCAGAGTCCCCTTTTGTAAACTTCCAACGAGGAAAGTCAACAAGCGCGGAGGAACCCGATTCGTTTTACGACTGTAAAGGGCCGACTTAACCGCTGCAGCGATTCGCTGAACGACGGCCAGGCATCGAAAGAGACACCATAATCCATCATCCTCAGTGGGGAGGTGTATCCATCATCCCACCCTGCAAAATTTGCTTGGAAAGGAGGTCTTGGATTTAACGACGGTGTTTGGGACTGTATTTTTCCCGCCGTTAAGCAAGGTGGGCGTTCGATGTCACAAACCAGGGTTTTGGTTTTTTTGACAAGGTTGTTAAGCAAATCAGGACGTCGTTAAACGGGTCCGTTGACTTTCCTTGTTGGCTGGGAGCAGGATGGAGTGACCCTGGGTCTCTCCAAGCATCGTAAATGCAGAGTGGTGGTCGTAATTTTGACTGCGCGGTGGTGGGATGGTCGTAAGAGCGAGGAAAAATCCTTCATCCCGGAGTTAAAGCGTCTTTCAGTTTCGACCAAACTATTTTTAAGCTATTTTTCCTAACTTTTAGCTAAACTTCCTACCTCCTTCCCCCTCGTTCCCCTGCCATAACGACAGACACAGAATTGTCAGGTTCCAGGGTCCTCAGAGGTCATCTATTCCAACCCACTGCTCGAGGCAGAGAAGGCGTATTTCACCCGTCTTTTTCACGTCTTCCCTCTTTCCCAGGTCTCATGTACGGGATCTGTTTATTCAGTGCCATTTTTGGCACGTACATACAACGTTTGCGGAGAGTTCTCTGCGCTTGGTATTACCCTTCGCGGGAACGGGTGAGTTTTTCTTTCCATTTTTTTCCCCTTCTCCTGTGGCCTACCTTGCAATCAGGAAGGGATGTGTGTTTGTGTGTGTGTGGGTTGGTGTTGGTGTGTGTGCAAGTTAAAGAAATAGGAAAACTTTAATTAAAGTTGGCGGTGATTCTTCGAGGCGAGCTGCAAACCCGTTCAACCAAGATCTGCATCACGTATCTTGTTTATTTTATTTTTAATACCAGCTTTGCTATGAAACTATGTGGTCGGGCTTAGTTTTGGGGGACGGAAAATAAGGGGGAAATAATTCTGCCTCTGTCTCCCAGCATCCATCAATATTCATCTGACTAGCATCCAGTCAGTGTGTGAGAGAGTTGAGGGCTGTTTGGAAACTGAAAGAGTATTTGCTGTGTGAGCAAGAAGGAGACAGCGAGGAGCCTGGGCGTGGCTTAGCTCAACTGTTCTGGACTAAAGCTGCTTGGTGCTCTGAAACTAAAACTCCTCTGCTTGTGTTTTGCATTTGGAAGAGATTTCTTTCCAGGTGGGGAGGGGGAGTAGAACTCCTTAGCGTCAGAGCGTGTTAATAATAATAATAATAATAATAATAATAATAATAATAATAATAATA